CTCCCACAGACCAAAAACATGCATGTTAGGCTGATTGGTAACTCTAAATTGTCCCTAGGTGTGAATGAGAGAGTGAATGGTTGTTTGTCTCGTTTGTCTCTATGTGTCCCTGTGATGGACTTGCGACCCGTCCAGGGTGTACCCCGCCCCTCGCACAGTGATTGCTGGACATGGGCACCGGCGACCCCCGTGACCCAAAATGGAATAAACGGGTAAAGAAAATGGATGGATATATATATATATATATATATATATAGGTATATATAGGTATATACATTTTTAAAATGTTTTCTTTAATTTATTTAATTTTTTACAAAAACATCTCCTTCACCTCATCTTAATATAATTATCATCAACTTAAGCCCAGGGGCCAAAATTATACAGTTTTCAAATGGCAGTTACTTAACGTGCCTAAGAGAAGCACTCAGAGGGCCTCAGATGGCCCGTGAGCTGCACGTTGGACACCATGTCTTAGCTACAATATAACTCCATGGAAGTTTAAGGCAGCTGTGCTATGATGATCCCACCAACACACAAGTCATATCGAAAGCCAGTCGTGGTGAAACTGGACATGAAAAAACAGATAAAGTGGCACCTTTAACATTTCTTCAGGAAGTTTTCTTCTAGCTGTCATATAAAGTTTCAACGACTATCAGCTCTTTAAGATGTGAGATTTTCCTTTAAATTGTCAGGGGAGGAGCACAGAGAGACCCCCCCCCCCCCCCACACACACACACACACACACATACACACACACAGTGAATCCAGCTGTTTTCTCACCACCTCTGCAGTCATCAGAAGTTTTGTGTTGCAGGATGTCTGCAGGAACCAGTCTGGTGTCGGTGGACTTTGAGATCTTTGGTCACGTTCAGGGTCTGTTTGTTTAATTCTTCTTCCTCCTCTCTGCTGAGCTGTGAGAGCCTGCAGGCTGTAAAATGATCCCCTGCTGCTTAATTTAGGAACGAGCTGAGCTCTGCTGCAGGAGATCTGGCTGCAGCTTCACAGCTTTACAGAGCTGCTGCTGCCTTTACAAGCTGTTTGGGCAGATTTTACTGACTGTTTATCACTTTATCTTTCAGGTGTTTGTTTCAGAATGGTGAGTGTCCCTTTATGAAATAGAAGTCAGAACAAAACTCCAAACCAAAACGTTGCTTTATTCCACACAGAAATGTTAATTTATCCCTGAAAGCAGTTCAGGAGCTGCACTCTGTATTTGTTTCAAAATGTTACTTGATCATCTCTGTGAGCTTTTCCAAATTCTGGAGCATTACAATGTAAAACAAAGCTTTGCTCACCTTAAGAGACCACCCCCCTAACATTTAGCTGCTTGTCTTATAATTTTTAACAATACATTTATTTAATATATTGTTTGATAAATGTTCACAAACACTATTTAATTCTCGTTGGTAGGCAGTCGAAAAGTAATTAAAGGCTAATGTTTATGGAACATGGGCTGTTCTGAGCTGTGTATTATATTGAGAAATGACAGCGTTGTTTCTTACGACGGAGTATCAGGGCCACGCTAAGAAAAAAAATGACATTATGTGAATAAAGTCGTATGAGAATAATGTCAAAATATTAGGTGAATAAAGTAAAAAAAATACAGGAATAAACCCGTAATATTATCAGAACTCCAACATGAAAAATCAGTCTTACAACTGATGAATGTTGACGTCAGCTGTACAATAGCAGGGGTCCAACGCACTGTGGCATATTCTTATGATAAATGAAGCTGTATGACATTTAAGATTTAGTCGTGACATAATGTGGATGGAGGCATATTTCACAAACAGTGATCTAAACGTGATCATGGGCTACTTCACAAACACAGCGACTCACAGTGGAGGCTGTGCAGCAGGTGCGAGTCCACCCAGAATGTATTATGAGTTTATTCTCATAATACTACAAGTTTATTGTCGTAATACTATGACTTTATTCCCGCAATACTGCGACTTTATTCTCGTAATATTACGACTTTATTCTCGTAATACTACGAATTTATTCCTGTAATACCATGACTTTATTCTCGTAATATTATGACTTTAGTCTCGTAATATTATGACTTTATTCTCATAACGCCATGACTTTATTCCTGTAATACTACGACTTTATTCTCGGAATACTAAGACTTTATTCTTGTAATACTAAGACTTTATTCTCCTAATATTACGACTTTATTTTTGTCATACTACGACTTTAGTCTCGTAATACTAAGACGTTATTCTTGTAATACTACGATTTTATTCTCGTAATACTACAACTTTATTTTCATAATACTACGACTTTATTCTCATAATACTACGACTTTATTCTTGTAATCCTACGACTTTATTCTCATAATACTACAACTTTATTCTCGTAACGCTAAGACTTTATTTACGTAATACTACGACTTTATTTTTCTAATACTATATTCTCATAATACTACAACTTTATTCTCATAATACTATGACTTTATTCTCGTAATACTATGTTTTTCTTCTCGTAATACTATATTCTCATACTATGACTTCATTCTCATAATACTACTACTTTATTCTCATAATACTAAGACTTTTTTCTTGTAATACTAAGATTTTTTTATTTCGTAAATGTATTTTTTTTCTTAGCGTGGCCCTAATACTCCGAAAAAAATATATCTTTTAGACAAACTTTAAATAATAATAACTTGTACTCAATCTCATGCGATGTTATGAGAGATCATGCTCAGAGTATGTGCTGTGAATGACTCTCAGCTACTAAACACATCAAATCTTAGAATATATATAAAACTAACTAAGATATAGCAAACTCTTCTTTTTTTAAGATGAGTTGGCTGCGGTGGCCATCTTGAATAGGTATGCTCCAAGTGAGGAGCGGATCATAGAAAAATCATGCAAATTGTTATACAAGCACTTTGTTCATTCATTTAGCCTTTATTTATACAGGTTAATCCCATTGAGCCTCGCACTGAATTTAGTTTGATGATTTCCTTTGAGGTATTTTTCAAATCTAATTGGTCATTAGAAAATCCAAGATGGCCACATTTTTTCCAAGATGGCTGTCAGAATGAACATGTTTCTGCACAGTAATCATATGGTAATGCAGTTACTTGATCAACTGAAATGATCTTTGTGTCCGTTTGTGTTTTCTTCTGTCATTAAACCTGTATTATACAAGTGAGACACATGAGTAAATTAATAATAATAATAATAATAATAATTGAACCATCTTGTATTTTAAAATGATCAATTATAATTCTTCAGAAGACTCTGAGGAACAGCCCTGCCAAATTTGGTGCTTGTGTCACATTTTGCACATTTCTTGCGCAACACTGGGCGTAGCAGCTCCACTGCAAAGGTTAATCAGTTGTAGATGTAGATCCAGTTAATTCCTCAAAGTTGCCTTAAAATCCATCAAGTGGTTCATGAGGTATTTTGCGAACAAACAAACAAACAAAGGTGACAAACAATAAGAAACGAAGTAAAAACCAAGATCTTGCTTAAATCAATCCGTTGGTTTTCAGAATGGGTTGAATCTGATTCTCTGATACTACAACACCCAGTTTTGTCTGGACATTTGTAAAACTGAGTGATTTAAAGTCCTTACTGTGATTTAATTTGCTTAACTGTGTTGTTTGAATTTATTAATCGTCTCATCAGCTTTTCTAACATCTCAGTTTTGGTTGATACGCTGCATGTTCTTCAGTGTTTTTAGCGTGTTATCAAACATTTTGAACATTTTATCCATGATGATGATGATGGCTCCTGTCCTGCAGTACACGGAGAGCGAGGGTCTGCGGCTCGGCCTGGTGGGCTGGGTGAAGAACACCTCCAGCGGGACGGTGGTGGGTCAGGTCCAGGGTCAGGCCGACATGGTGGAGGAGATGTGAGTGATCACTGTTACCCTGCAACACAAGGGAAGGACAAGTTTCCTGTTTTTATCCTTACCTGCATGTTTTAATGAGTGGGGGGAGATAACTCACCAAATCAGACACAGATTTGATCCAGGCAGGTCATAATGAGTTGATCCACCAGGTGGAGCTCTTTATCTTCATTTTGGATCAGTGTCTCTGAGAGGAACTGATGAACAGGAAGCACATTAACCCTCTGTTCTAGATTCATTCATTCATTCAACCTTTATTTAGACAGTTTATTTATGGCTTAAACTTTGCAAAAAATGTGAAATGAGTGACTTCATTTGCCCAACACAACTTCAGCTTTCAGTATAGTTTCTGATCATGCCACAGTTTAAACACAGGTTCTTAGATTAAATGTTTCAGGAGAATTCAACCTTTTACTCATATATTTTGTTTAAAGGCCAATCTTATCATGTAAATGATATGATGGACACAAATTACCCCCAGAATTATTTGGTTTGAAACAAACAGGATGTCAGACTAGACTTCTGTTATTTATTTTTCTTTCTTTTGAGTTATGGCAGTCGTAGTTATGGCAGTCGTATAGATGAAAGGAGGTGAAGAACACCCTGATGACGTCATGCATGAGTTTCAGACACATCAGCTTTTCATGAGAAATGACAGAGTCGTAGCCGTTCTGGTCAAGATTTTGAAAAATGTTAAGATTTCTTGCAATTTTGTTATAAGTTCCTCCATCATATGTTCCTTTGTACGGAAACTCTGGCACAACAATTTCCTGCGGGATCAATAAGGTTCTATCTTATCTTCTATATCAGAATATACGTTGAGGAGAACTGTCATGTTGGATTATAGCTCAATATCTGTAAAACTGAGGAAGTATTAGTCATATCGTGAACTGAGCTTGCCCCAGAAGTTGATCGTTGAAGGTGAACATTCAATAATTACTTTCTGAAATGTTCATTAAAACATGTCCAGTGATTCATGAGATATTTTGCTAACAAGCAGATAAATACAGACACAGGTACATGCATTAATGGACGTCGTTTAACTTTTGGTAGCAGGTAATAATCAAGAAAAGAAGTGGAAAAATACTTTGATCCACAGAGGGAAATTAGTTTAAACTTTTAAAAAGTCTTCATGAACAAACAGGAAATGTTTGTTGTGAAGGAAGTAAAGCTGAAAAGGACACAAGGAAAACTATTTTCTCCAAATATTTGCAGCTGATGTGGTCCTGTTGGTGTCATCATGATGTCTAGCTCTCACTGAGTGGTTTGCATTTGAGCGTGAAGCAGCTGGGATATGGCAGAAAAGGGCGGCTTGCCTTCTCCGGGTCTGGAGTGACTTGGAGGACTTCTCAGCGTTTTGTTCACGAGTGAGGGAAGACTGGAGCAAGAGCTCAACAAGCGGATCCATGCAGCTTCCACAGTACTGCAGACTCTGTGCTCATGTGTTGTGGTGAACAGGGAGCTGAGCTACAAGGCGAAGCTCTCTGTTTACCAGCTGGCCTACATTCCCACCCTCACCTATGGTCATGAACTTTGGATAGTGACTGGAAGGACAAGATCATGGATAGAAGTGCTCAAAATTAATTTTCTCGGCAGAGCTGGACTCTCCCTTAGAGATAAGGTGAGATGCTCAGTTATCTGTGAGAGACTCGGAGTAGAGCCGCTTCTCCTCCACATCGAGAGGAAACAGTTGAAGTGGTTTGAACATCTGGTAGGATGCCCACTGGACGCCTCCCTTGAGAGGTTTTCCAGGCTTGTCCAACTGGGAGGAGACTCAGAGAAAGACCCACATGTTGGAAAGACTGCATCTCTCGGTTGGCCTGGGAACACCTTGGTTTCCTCCCAGAAGAGCTGGAAGAGGGGGATGTGGACAGAGATGTCTCCGTGCTCAAGCTGCAGCTGCAGCGGCCTGATTCTGGAACAAGTGGCTGATGATGGATGGATGGATGCAGGTGGATGGATATGGATAAAGGATGTAAGAGACAGATGGAAAATAACAAAGAACATAAAGCAGCTGATGAAATTAAATGGAAATATAAACCAACTGTCTAAATTCTTGCAGTTGTTCCAGTCCCTGTACATGAACACATCATGTCTCCAGCAGCAGTTCACTGAAGGGACCTGATGCTGAACTCAGTGTTTAACAGCTGTAGTATACTTCTAAAGAACAAAAGTATTATTTTCTTATCAAAAGGACATGCTCAGGAAGTCTACAGCATGATTTCTGTGATAACACACTTCTTCCTGTCCTCCTCACTTTCACTGTGACCTCACTTCCTGTCAGGCCTAACAACCAGGAGGGAAAATGTGTCTGCTGGTGGGAGGCGGATGAGTGGGTTGTTTCTACTTTTACTTCTTTTGGGAAAAAATCCCAGAGAAAATATGGAAGACAAATGAGATTTCTTTCATAAAATGACTGGAATGAAACAAGTCGAGTTGTCATAGAAAGGATGAGGCAGAAGACAGAGGAAGAGTAAATGATGGATGGATAAATGATGAGCTACAATTTATTTACAGTCTCACTTATAAACATAAAATAGTTCCAAATATAACTCTTTGTCTTCATAAACATAAACAAGAAGCGATCTCAGTGTATTTAATGCATAATTTAATTTATTTGTATAATTTTCTCATGTTTCTCTGACTTTGCTTTAATTTTAATTTTTTATCTTACAACTGTTGATACATTGCCACAGTCTGCAAAAGCTCAACCCTACCTATTTGTTAGCAAAATATCACATGAACCAAAGGTTATATTTCAATGAAACTCTGAGACAACAATTTGGTGGATATTCAGTGGTGCTTGAACTTTGTGAAGTCTTTATACTTCTGTATATTTCTGCATAAATATGACCTAAAACATCATCAGATTTTCACACAAGTCCTAAAAGTAGAAAAAGAGAACCCAGTTAAACATCCATCCATCCATCCATCCATCCATCCATCCATCCATCCATCCATTCATCCATTATCTTTTACCCACTTCTTCCATTTTGGGTCACGGAGGTCGCTGGTGCCCATGTCCAGCAATCACTGTGCGAGGGGCGGGGGACACCCTGGACGGGTCGCAAGTCCATCACAGGGACACATAGAGACAAATGCGACAAACAATCATTCAGTCTCTCACTCACACCTAGGGACAATTTAGAGTTACCAATCAGCCTAACATGCATGTTTTTGGTCTGTGGGAGGAAACCGGAGTACCCAGAGAAAATCCATGCACGCATGGAGAGAACATGCAAACTCCACCCAGAAGGGCCCTTGGACCGGGGTTTGTACCAGGGACCTGCTCACTGAGAGGCAGCAGCTCTACCAGTTGCGCCACCGTCCACCCAGTTAAACAAATGAGACAAAAATATAATATTTGGTCATTACATTTCCACTAACTGTTGATCAGTCCTTCACACCGACTTGGAGGAATTTGATCCCATTCCTCTGTAGAGAACAGCTTCAACTCTGGATGTTGGTGGTTTCCTCACATTAACAGCTGCTTCAGGTCCTTCCACAACATCTGGATTGGATGAAGGTCAGGACTTTGACTTGGTCATTCCAAAACATGAACTTTATTCTTCTTGACCCATTCTTTGGTAGAACCACTTGGGTGCTTAGAGTCATTGTCGCTGCATGAACCACCTTCTCTGAAATTCAGTTCATGGACAGATGTTCTGACATTTTCCTTCAGAATTCTCTGATATAATTCAGAATTCATTGTTCCATCAATGACAAGACGTCCTGGCCCGGATGCAGGAATGCGTGTGATTTTCATACATACTGAGCTAAAATTTTGTGTTAGCTAAGAGTTATTCAGAAGACAGTCCAAGGTCTAAAGTAGTCCCTCACTACTTTGCGGTTTGACTTTTGCAGACTCGCTTTTTTGCGTTTTTTCAACGATTGTCAACCAGTATTACTCATGTGATTAGGACTGTATGGAATAAAAAGTTAACAAAAAATAATAATACTGTGGACAGGCCCCACCATTTTGTAGTTTTTGTTCAATAAGCCTATACTGTAAGGGCAGTCAAAGAACTACACTACCCAGAAGGCAACAGTGAACTTCCCAGAAGCCAGCACTGCTTTCAGCCGCTGCTTTCTGCTGAAAATGGAGTGAAAGTTTTGATCCGATCTGAACGTATCTAATTTATCAGACTTTTTCATTGGTTTTCTCCGGATTATTTGGACTCTATCTGAACCATTGTGTGGTTTTGTGTTGGCTCTCTGAAGGTCCAACTCTCGCCAAAAGCATCTCGTGCTCAACGGCTGCAGAGAGTCGAACAGAACCCGAGCAGAACTGGACCAAGGCTGGTGCTCCTCATATAAAATATTACAGTACTACACAGTACATACTGTATATGTTGTTAAATGACATAGGTTTAAGAGTTTAGCACATTGCAAGAGTGTGGGAAGTGTTTATAAAGTCTTAATAAAGATTTAAATACTAAAATTGTCGCTACTTCTCAGATTTTCACTTACTGTGAGGGTGTCTGTAACACAACCCCCACGATAAACAAGGGACTACTGTACATACTGTGTAACATATTTGCTTAAAATTTTGGAGTCAACTTTGTCTCAAGTAATCATTGGGCGTGCATCTAAGACTTATTTGGACTAAACTCAGTTCAAGATGACCTCCACACTCATTCGTGTGGTAGTAGTTGAGAGTCATCAATAACACAAACTACAAGCATTAAGGCATCTTGCAAGACTCTCACAACATTGCACAAGATTGTAATGTCCTTTCTAAAATGGGACTGACTCCGCCCCTTTTCATTATAAATTGATCTTGGTCTAAAACTGGCATGAAGGGCAGCGGGCGAAAGGCATTCCTTTAAGGAATGCTTGGCCATTATTTGTTGTTTTGGTTGATTTAAACTCATTGTTTTCAGTCCTGATTCTTGAGGTTTTCTTGTTTGGATATTTCCTTGCTACAACACACCTGGTTCATGTTGCCTAATTTTTTTAACCCTCTGGACCATTCTTGCCTACAGGTGGACTAGTTTGTTGGTCAGTTTGGCTTAATTAAGCCCATATTTCTCAGTCCTAATCTTCATGCACACTCACCTGCATGTTGTAGAAAATACACTGTTTAAAAACACCGGCTTCAGTTTTAAAACTGAGGCCTCATCAGTCTTTTTCTTCCAGTGGCCAGTAAGCCTACACAGCAGGAGGGATGAATTAATGGATGCCATCAGTGGAATGCTGAGTTGTTGCTTTTCTGTTTATTGTTTATCCTGTATGCTGTTTAAACTGCAACTACTTTTGAGTATTTTCAGTGATTTTTACCTTTCAACATCCATCCATCCATCCATTCATTATCTTTACCTGCTTATTCCTTTCTGGGTCATGGGGGTCACTGGTGCCCATGTCCTGCAGTCACTGTTCTGGGGACACCATCGTAGGGCCACGCAGAAACAAACAAAACAACTTTTCACACTCATCTACAGTACAGGGACATTTTAGAGTAATTCATTAGCCTAACATGCATGCTTTGGGAGGTGCAAGGAAATGAAATAACTCAGAAAAAATAATTCATGCACAGAGAGAACATCCAAACTCCACCCAGAAATGTGCCGGGGTCAGTATTTGATCTGGTAACCTTCCTCTGAGAAGCAGCAGCTCTATCCACTGAACCACCGTGCATTTCAACATTCATCTTTCAAAATGTTCAGCTTGTTCAGGACATTATGGTCATTAGGTGCCACAGTCATTCAACCTTTATTTAAACAGATAAGTCACATTGAGCCTAAAAGACTCATTTACAAGTGAGACCTGTTTGGACAGACAAAAAAGTGGTAAAATGGACACATGTAGGAGTTGGAGGTGAAAAAATTCCTATCAGACTTTTTTCTTCCTGCCTGAGGAAAAAAAAACCTCTAATATTAAAAAAACACCTCGCACAAACAAGCACATAGTGACATAGACATTCTGCAGAGGGGGGAGCTGAGAGCGGTGAGCATGTTCATGCTCTCGAGGTCACTGTAAGAGTTCTGATAAGGATGTAATAATCAGATCCATAAACATTCTCAAGGTATGTCGAGGAATGGCCAAGAATAACGTCTATGAGAATCCAAGAGTCCTGAAATGATGACACAAAGTTTATTCAGCTGGTTTCATCTGGTTATCAGTTGGAAATTCCTCAGGGATGGGGGGAGAGCGTCAGATCACATGTTCTCCAGGCAAATTCAGATAAGATGACCTTCAAGGCCAGCCAAGGGAGCCACATTCAGATAAACACACAGTTGTTTTGACAAGCAGAACTTAATGACATCTACCTTGAGTCTGTGTTGGTCGACTCGGTTCCGAGATGTCTAAATTTAATTGGCCACACTGATGGAACATGACTGAGTAAAGTCCCCAAGATCTGATCCATTCAGCTCAAAGCATTTGAGTCCGGGTATACTCGAGACACGAACCAAGCCATCATAAAGGCAAGCAGCATGATCGGGTCCAAATTTGTTGCCGATGACTTCCTTGATTGATTGATAAAACCAACAACCAGCCGAATCCAAAAAGTAGGAACCAGTTATCGAAAATCCAATTAAATATGCGTCCTTAAAATCCACAAGTGGCAGCAGAGATAAACACATCAAGTCAAGTCGATGAGATATTCTGCTGTGTGCGTGCCAAGAGGGCAAATCGGCTCGCCTAAAGCCTGTCTTCGAAGAAATGTTGTAAATTGAGTTGAGGGACCAACTGATCAAAAAGTCCATAATTATGGTTCAGAAGAAATGCAAGAGAGTCTCATAAGCAGTTTCACAGACAGACAGAGCAGCAAAGCAAAGCAGAGAGGGAGGGGGGAAGCATCCGATCTCGGCAAGAGCAAGTGGTGAAGTGACGTAGTTAGATGATGGTCATCCCAAAAATGCAGACTGAACACAAAGAGCTGGAGAAAAACAAATTGAAACAAAAGGGCTGTTATTATCATGTTTTGCTCCCTTCTCCTGTTATTTTTCATGTTTTTGTTTTCCTGCCAAGCATTTCCAGCTCCTGTCACTCAATTACCTCCACTGTGCACCATGCCCTGCAATCAGCTCATGCGCTCCACCTGTTCTCAGCCCTTCGTAAACTCCCTTTCCTCAGTCAGTGCCAGATTCTTGAACCTGTTTCAGTAGTAGATATCCAGCTACCTTGTCTTGTCTCTCGTCTTGCCACAAAACCTCGCCTGATCTTGGACCTCAGTTTACGACTCTGCACTTCCTTATCGACCACAACTTCAGATCACAAATTGGCTCTGGCTTCTGCTCTCTGCTTCCCTGTGCTTGACCCCTGCTTCGACTATCAGACCACATATCTGGATTTCCCCATTCTGGACCACAGCGTCTTTAATCTGCTCCGCTGCAGCAGTTCATTTTCCAGGAGGGATGTCACCAGCTTCAGCGCGACTAAAGCACCTGCTACACCATCAAGACATTAGATTGGACCCGGCCCAGGACTCAGACCTCCACCAGAGATTGTTTAAATACAATAAACTCTAAACCACTCTTGGTCTTGGTGTCGTTGTGCTGATCCAAACTGGTCCTTGTCAGTTGTGGCAGCAACAGTAACAGAATACTTTCAAAGACACAAAGGAGACACAATGCCTGACTTCAGATGGATGGAAGCGGAGGGTCCATAAGAACCAGAGCTGAAACACCTGGCATACTGGGAACAGGTGGGAGTGGTAGGAGCTGAATGAGCAGAAACTGTGGGGAAACTGGTGACACAGAAAACAAGAAGAAACAAATGACAAGTGCAAATAAATCTTAACAGCAATAAACACAAAAAGCTACCAAAACCAACCCAAAACATAGATCCTAATGATGTTTGTTTTTATAAATTTTAAATGTATTTTTTAACTTCAGAATATTTATTTTTCATCAATAAAACAGATGAAGAACTCCTAAAATCTTTGAAAAATCCATTCCAGCCCACGTCAGTTTTAGCTTTTAGCTACTGTTTTGCAGGTCCCAATTTTTAAATTTTGTTTTGGTAATGTTAGCTTTTGTTGAGTTATTTTAGCTTTTGTTGAGTTATTTTAGCTTTCGTTGAGTTATTTTAGCTTTTATTTAGTTATTTTAGCTTTTTTTTTTTTTACAACTTTACTTTGTGCAATTTAATTTCAACTTCTTCAGCAAAGTTCAGCAGTCATTCAGCTCTCGGTGCATTTTTCTTTAGCTGATTCTGTTTTAGCTGTGTGTTTCTCAGCCAAGAGGTTGTGGGGCAGAAGAATATGACTCGCGCTCCAGTTCTGACTCGTGACCTCAGAACCAGATCCTGTGTGTTGTCAGAAGTGTAAATGGGCTGTGCGTGAGTCGAGGGCACAGATCAGAGAGTTTTAGAGGAAAACAGCAGCAGATTTTAATCCACCAGAGAATTAACACTAAGCTGTGTTTGTGGATATTAGTGGGTTACAAAGCACAGCAGTCAGTCTGTTAGGAGACTTTTTTGTCAGTAGAAGTGGGACATCTATTCTGCCAGTCTGAACCTCGGCCCATGCAGTTCTGACCCTGATCCGATTCAATCTGTTCTAATCTTCAAGCAGCAGCTCTCTAGAGAACCACTGAGCCTCAGCGAACCTTCTCAGGGTTAAATATATCTGAAGGAATGTTGCCGTTTTCCCATCATGCCCCCCAGGGGTCCACATGAGGTCTTTACCCCCGACTGGTCTGCAGTTTTTGTCCCAGGAGCAGGAAGACCCGACAACATGAAACAGTCTGAGGAGGTTTATTTCTTTATGAATCTTTGATTTATTGATTATTATCATCTGGTGCTGAAAGGCAGAGAGGTGTGTGTGTGTTAGCAAAATATCTCATGAACCGCTGGATAGAATGTACAGCTCATTACCCACAGCTAAGTGACCTTAAACAAAAACTGATGATACTTGAGACAGTTTAGCAGATATGAAGTGTGGCCTGAAGAAGTGCTCTCCTGACCATGAGGTCATCTCTCAGAACCCCCGAGTCTGAACTGGTCTCCTTTAAAGTTGCTTTTGACCTAAAGAATGTCTGAAGTTTTCTGCACATTCACGTTTCTTGGTTTCTTACTACAGCTTGATAAATGTTTACACATTATTTAGGCTTTTGAGGAGAAACATTTATTCATAAAATTAAGTTTGTTTCTTTTGATTGACATGTTTGCAACATGGAAACTGTCCAGAGGACCTGACTTAACTTTGTTAGATAAACTCTTGGTTTTGTTAGCTAAATATTTTTATAAATTATACTTGAAGTTTCATACATTTTATTTATTTATATCTTGTTCAGAGTGATGAGTGCTTCTGTTGTTCTGTTGGTTGTACGTATAGTGAAACTCTGCTCTGGACCCTCATGGAGAAGAATCTGATCAATCTGAGCTGATTATTATTATTATTTTTTTTACTCTGTGTTTCCTGCAGGAAGGTTTGGTTGAGTAAAGAAGGAAGTCCATCAAGTCGAATCACCAGAGCTTCTTTTACCAACCAGAGGTCCATTGATAAGATGGAAATCTCTGGCTTCAAGACTCGTTTCTGAGCAGCCAGGCTGATTCTCCTCCTCCTCCTTCATACAAACCACAGAGAACCACAGATAATCACAGAGAACCACAGAGAACCACAGATAATCACAGAGAATCACAGATAATCACAGAGAACCACATATAATCACAGAGAATCACAGAGAACCACAGAGAATCACAAAGAACCACAGAGAATGACAGAGAATCACAAAGAATCACAAAGAACCACAGAGAATCACGAAGAATCACAGAGAACCACATAAAAACGCAGAGAACCACAGAGAACCACAGAACCACAAAGAACCACAGCTAACCACAGAAAAACACAGAGAACCACAGAACCACAAAGAACCACAGCGAACCACAAAGAACCACAGAGAATCACAGAGAACTACAAAGGATCACAGAGAATCGCAGAAAACCACAGAGAACCACAAAGAACCACAGAAAATCACAGAGAACCACAAAG